CCGAACACCACCAAACGGCATCGCGCCTGACCGCCTGGCTGGAGCTCGGGAAGGTGCGGAACTTGCGCGCTTGGGCTTGTTGCAGGGCCAGTGCCGGTCGCGCATGGGCCCCCTCGCGCGGGAGTCCATCTCGCTGGACGGNNGCTGACCAGCGTCGTGTCGATCGCGATTTGCGCGCCTTTCCAAAGTGGGACCCGTTCGCAACGACGTGGCGCGTTCCAGCGGCCCTGCTCGGCTCTATGTGCGGGGACCCGTGCGCAAGAAGAGCGGTGGTCACCCATGTCGAGGCGTCGTCCGCAGCGACATCGCTTGCCGGAGCCTGCGCAGCAACAGGACTCTGAACTCTTCGCTTGGCACGACGAAGTCCGGTCCGGTGGGCAGTACGGTGAGTGCACAGCTTGCGCCTTCGCCGTTCTGGGACAGCAGCAGCGCTCGGAATGCGGTATCAAAGTCAGCGAAAAGCATCTCGAACGCGCGCTTGTCAACAGCAGCGCCGGCGCTCCGTTGCCACCCACGTCGTGACTTGAGGGAGCTGTCTTCCTCCCCTGCCGGGTTCACTCCGTTCGTACATGTTCGTACCGTCCAGCAGGTTGGCCCAACTCTGTGCTTGGAAGCCGCAGTCTCAGGGACTGTGCTCCGTGCTCGGCCAGGCACTGGGTGGCCTGCTCGAGTGAGGGGGGACACGAGTGTCGCATCGCAAGATGAAGCCTCCCCAGCGGTCGTCGCCCCGGCTGCGGCGCACCACGGCGCCCGCTAGCGAGCCCTCGCCCGCGCGAGCAGTCGCAAGAATGTCAGGGTGCTGCGGCTGACCCGCCCGCCAACTTCAACGCCGAAGACGACCAGGCGGCAGCGCCGAGCCTGCCGCAGTTCCGGGTAGGCTCGGTGTTTGCGGTCGACTGCCTGGTCTAGGGCGAGGCCTGGTTGATGGTCAGCCCGTGGGCGGGGCTGGCCGTCCCGACGGACTGGGCTCACGATTGTGGCGTCAACCGCGATTTGAGCCCCTTGCCAAATAGGGAGGCCATTGGCGACCACCTCTCTGCGGCGTCCGTCGCCCGCTGGTACGTCAAGGTTGAGGTCGCGGAGGGCGACGTGCGATGCCACTCTGGCTCCCGCCTCCTTGCAGATGCGTGCTGCCGCGCGCTCAAGGGAGCCAGCTCGGCGGGCCAGCACGCCCACCTGGGCGCAGGCCGAGCGATGGTCGCCGTAAACATCCAAGCGTCCTCCACAGGGGCAGCGCTGCGGGGCGAGAGGGAGGGGCAAACGGAGTCTGCGGAGGAGCATGACTCGGTACTCTGCGTCCGGCACCCGGGTGTCGGCGCTCGTTGGGAGGGCCGTGAAGGCGCAGCTCGCGGCATCGCCAGCCTGTGACAGCAGCAGCGCCCGAGACGTGGGGTCGATGTCGTTGAAGATCGTCTCGAGTGCGCGCTTGTCCAGTGCTTTCGATGCCGCGCGTTGCCAACCCGGTCTTCCGCCTGGAGCAGGTCGGTTTGGGTGTGGAGCTGGTGCCGCCGCATCTTCCTCCAGCAGTCTCGCCCAGGTTGGCGTTGAGAAGCCTTCGGAGCGCAGGAAGCGGGCAGCTTGTTCCGCTGCTCGCGTGCTGGGGAATGTGCCGCTCGCCGTTGTGTCCAGCAGCGGGCGGAGGAGGGCGGCGAGTACACCCGGTTGGTGTTCGCGCAGTGCGCGGACAGTGTCCGCCCACGAACAGTAGGCGGCGTGGCGCAGTCCCTCGGCAGATCCCAGCCCCAAGCCCCCCATGCTCAGTGGGAGTTGGGCGCGGCGGTAGCTGGGGTCTGGCGGCGGCATGTCGCCATCACCGCCCGCCAGCAGCTTTGCCAGCCGGATGGCGGCATCGTGCTTGGCAGCGAAGTCTGCGGTGTCTGCCGGCGGTAGGGTTCGTAGCAAGTACGTGCTGCGGGGTGCTGCGCAGTAAAGCAGAAGGAGCCCACG